AAACATGAAGTTTAGTTAATGCGGATTAGATCCAAGAGAGCCTCCTTTATCCAAGACAAGGCTACAACCATTTGCTCTTTAGATCACCAAGAGAAAGGCATGTTGCCAGAAAGCACAAAGGCTCCAGATGTGGATCCGTGACAATCAGGGTCTACAACCCAGTTAGAAGGTGCAAACTCAATGTAATCGTGCCTCTTAGACAATTAGGCTTTACTGCAACCCAAGGATCTTCAAGAGGGGAAGACATCTACTGACATACTTTATTATATATAACAAATTTAACTTTTGAGCTTGTAATGGTGGAATACTGAAGCACACCTACAATGGACTTGTGGTAAGTCGTATTGGGTAGAGCATCAGTACCATCTCTGGTAAGCTTGTAAACACCTACCATTGGTGAGGAAATAAGCTTGGCCTCCAAGAATATACTTGGACTGACTAAGATAAAGAGAGTCATCAGAATGACTACAAAATTCAAATCTTAGAAAATAATTGAAATAACCAACTCCCTGAGAGAAATTTCTGAATTCACTAGCTGAGTAAGAGTTTGATTGAAGGGAGCATTGTTGCCAATGATGACAATATCATCTAGGTAAAAATATAACTAATTGTAGAACTAGTTCTAGAATATATGAATACATGACTGAAAATGTTCTCCCGTAGACTCCATGCACTCTTGCATTGAAATACAAATAACAGACTAGAATCGTGGGATGAATATATCTTACTTTCTAATACTAATACAGCCCAAAAACGATTCGGTGATGCTTTAAAATATGTCTTGTTTGAAAGGTTGTTCTGCATATGAATTAAAGTACACACAACATGTTTTCATTTCTAAATTCTTCCATTCTACTATCATACCTGTTAACTATGTTGATCTCAAGATCATCGGCTTTGTAATTGTTAGAAAAGTTTTTTATTGTCTTATGTATAGCTTTTATTTTTTTTCTCTACCAGTCAGACTTATATGATCCTAGGTGACACTTTTCTACCCTATCTTTTGTGCATCTGATTCTGACTTAAATATATACAAAAATATGATAAGATCTAATATGATAATTGGATATGCTCTTAAATTAGAAGCAACATGTTTTGTAGTTTGAGTTTTGTATAAGATTCAATTATTAGAATTCTATCACTCACCGTTGGACGTGACATTAATTACTTAAATAATTGTGAAGGTTGGTGGTGAAACAAATAAAGAAAACTAGAAGTAAATAACCATTCCATCACTTGCAATTGAACATGAGTTTAATGCTTAAACAAATATGAAGTATGAGTATGAAAAAGATGAACATATAACTAAAACAAAATGAACAAGAGAGTGAGTGAGGATTGAATTGAAAACGGAACCAAAAGATTAGATTTGTAATGGCAGTAGAAGCAATGATTGATTTTATGTTTATTTTTTATTTTTTTTACATTAAGTTCTCTTTTCATTACTGTTATAATTTGTGCCTAATGTCATGGGCTTTCTTCCATTCTATTTGATAGGAAGAGGATACACCTTCACAACAAAATAAACACAGCATCAAAGACCAAGTTCTCATAGAAAGAACTGTTGATAATGAAAGCCTTCAAAAAGAGAAGAAATCAGCGGTGTCATCCTCATCTAGTAGTCCTCCACGAAACTTACCTGTTCAAATGAAGTTAGAAAACCAAACTAGAGTTACTGGAGATCCCGTGCATGTCAGGAAAACATCTTATGGTACCTCCCAAACGACTGATAAAGAGGCTTCTTCATCTTTAACTTCTGGACCGCAAGTAACAGCTAGTCCAAAAACAGAGATCCAGAAAACTTCACCCCCAAGATTAACCGAAACATCCATGGCACAAGTGGCTATAATGTCAAGGCCTTCTAGTGCTCCACTAGTTCCTGGAGGTCCCAGGCCTAGTGCTACCGTCTCCATGGTTCAAACTGCTCCACTACTTGCACGCTCTGTGAGTGCAACTGGTAGGTTGGGTCCTGATCCCTCGCCAGCTACTCATAGTTACGTTCCTCAGTCCTACAGAAATGCAATAATGGGGAATCCTGTAGCCACAACTGCTGCTAGTCTCCCTCATTGCAGCACTAGTTCTGGGGTAAACGCATCTCCTGGCTATTCACAACCACTCTTGGTATCATCACCATTATTTATATGCCGAAGCTCTGACAAAATGGATTCAAATTCTTCCCAGTCTTCTCTTCCCTTTGGTATGATTAGTGGGGAAGTTTTACCGAACGGACCAAATTGGATTGATAGTTCTCATAGGGAAGCCGGCAGAAGCTTGCAGTATGAATCACCTTCCCGACATAAATCTGTTCAAAACCTAGACTTGTACAAGCCAATAGACAGTAGATCATTGAGCAACGGATCAAGTGAGTTCCCAGCGTACACATCTAGGCGTCAGAACCAAGGGGGATTGGTGGATGAATTCCCACACCTGGATATCATAAATGATCTTCTTGATGAGGAGCATGGTATCGGGAAGGCAGCCAGGGCAGGTTCAGTCTTCCACTCCCTCAATGAGGGATCACAGTTGCTAAATCGTCGGTCCACTTTTCCTGGAGACTTGGGTACAAACGATGATTTGGGATCATCCACCAGTTCTTGTAGGTTTGAGAGATCACGAAGTTATCAGGATGCCGGGTTTCAACAAGGGTATAACTCATCTGGTCGGCATTTTGATACGCGGCAGGATTGTCTACCTCAGGGGGCTACCCTATCATCGTATGGAAATGGCAAGGTAGATGGGTTGATTTCAAACCAATGGCAGGTTGCTGGTTCGGACCTATCTTACCTAGGCATGAGAAACACAGAGAATAGTTACTCTTACTATCAAGATTACGCAAATATGGCATGCAGTGTCAATGGTTATACTGTATTCAGGCCATCAAATGGTCCTTAGAGGAAAAAGATGACAGGTTGCCCACAAATTAGTGGGGTCATCCACAAGTGTAATAATGTATTTCAGGAAAAATTGTTGGGTCCCTTTAGGTTGGAGTGAGGTTGTATCTGTATCCCCTTGGTAGGAAAACATTTTGTAAAGAGTGTTTCCAATTAATTTGGTTCCAGTTTTTCATAAATTTATACATGTCCTACCTTCTAACAGTGTTGGGACTTGGGCCTTCTGGGATTATAGGTACTGTTTATTCATGTTGTGAATGTAATCTTAAAAGTTGAGTTTTCTGTACATATTTTAGTAGGGAGTTCACTTTTTTTAGCCTAAAACGTTCAAAAAGATCTTTAAAATATGAATTGGATTGAGAAGTTATTCCTATTTTAACATCTAGTCATAATTTTCCTACTGCACAATTGTATGAAGGATAAACTATCAGTTCTGGATGTGTAAAATGCTATTATAATAGACTCTGAAAGTATATAAATTTAATTATTTATTATTATTTTAATCATTAAAAATAGACTTCTAAACATTGATAGTAATTGATACAATATTATAATATAATTGATAGTAACGATGGCCCATATAAAAATAAAATATTGTTAATCATTAAAAATAGTCTTTTAAATAATTTATTTTTAAATCTAAAACATTTAAATTTTGTATCCAAACATGAAATAATAGCGAAAATTATAATTCAGAAAAGTAAGTTGACATTCACAGTATTTTATGCAGATTTGGTCATTACTGCAAAAATTAAAGCGTGTAAAATAAGAAGTTACACATTTTCTTGTCTTGGGATTTGAATCGAACGCAGAGAGTATGCATGCCTAAAAGTTCCTCTCTATTTATTTGAATATAATAATGTACGAATTTCAGATCATTCTTCCCCTAGGCAAATATCGAATTAGTATTAGAATGAGTGTGTATGTGTTAGTAAAATCTATATTCAAATTACTTAGGGTTTTTTCTTAGGCAAGAGATATATTAGATGGTATGCTTATTTCAAAATATATTATTATTAATATATTAATGAGAGTTTTTTTTTCTTTACATGATATTTGATAAATTAATCTTAAGAGTTTTTTTTTTTACTATTCAAGAAGAAGACTTCCTTTATTTTTTCTACTATTTTAATGAAATATTAATATCAATATGAATGAATTCTTACTATTCATTTCAAAGTGATTATTTTTGTCTTATCATATAAAATTTTGATTACGATAAATTTTCACAAAAATTCCTTATATTTTTTATTGATTGTGGGTTTTTAATTTAAAATCTAATCATAAATATTTATTATGTTTCTAATTTAAAATTAACGTTTAAACATAATATATTGAGCTCGTGTATGAATAACATGATAACAAAATTGTAATATGGTAATAAGATAGTACATTTAAAAGAAAAAAAAAATACCTTTTTTGTTGCATGTAAATCCAAAGGGAGTGAGCACATTGATGAAATGTTCAAGTTGATGCATTTATTATTGAAATTGTACATTCATTATGCATTTAATACTATAAGTCACTATGATTCATTGAATTATGAAATAGTGACACGTCACTAAAACTATTTAATTTTATGGTTTTTCTATTAATTAAAAGAAATTTTACTTTCAGTATTATGGGTATAGTTGATGTTACGTACTATTTTAAATTTTTAAAAATAATAATAAAAATGAAGAATAATTCAATTATATATTCTAAGATAACATTGATTTTGTGGATGGAAAATCAATACGAATCATTATCTTATTTACTAATAATAATAATAATAATAATTAACCCTATTATCATGAAAATTGATTATATATATATATATATCCTCATTAGTAGACAGAATTATTCAAATTATCATTTTCTTCTCATCATTCAAATTATCCAAAAATACCCTAAACCCTAACCCTCCTCCTAGTAACATTATAACAAATATAAATTGTATGTTAAATTAAAATGTTACAAAATTAAATCATATTTTCGTATTAAGTGAAACAAGAAATGCGGGAAACCCCGAATTTCAGAAAAATCCAATTTTGTAAATTTTTTCCCCTTCTGTCAAATTCAAATAGTAATACAAAAAAACAAATAATGAAAGTATTTATTAATATTATTTTAAGAAATAATCTTATTCGCTAAACGATTTGATAAAACAAGAAGAACATCGACGATGGATTCAACATGTGCAGCGCACTTAGGAAGGGCGGAGGAATCATGGAAAGAAGGATCAGTCGGGGAGTCTCCTGAAACGCAGTCTTCAACGTCGCTTATCACTGCAGAAGCAGCCACGTTCACACCAAGGTAGTCTCTTCTACGAAGCATCTCTTTCGAGTACTCGACATCTCCCAGAGCACCCTCCGAACCGAAATGCTCCAAACATGACCAGTAGTGCCTTCTCGCCACTGGATTTCTTTCTCCTCCGATCAGGTCATGGATTAATTTTATTCCCTTCCTCACTTCCTCACCCACTACGTCGATGATGTGTTCCGTCACCTCCACTAGGCTTGCATTTTTAGGGTTTGATTTCAGAAGATTCACACACAATTTAGGGTTTTGAGTTTTCTTGCAAATCATCGTCAATTCCCCCGTTGGGATTGCATCCGATGTTGAAGCAAACATCAGCAACACCCCCAACACAACGGAACACAAATTATAAACCATTTTCTTCTCTTTTTTCTTTCGATTCAAAACTACTTCCTTTCAACTTTTGGCTTTATCATACACTTCTTTATACTTCTCATTTCAAAATAACGCGTAAGCTTTATTCATTTAAATTTTAGAGGTGTAATTATTAAATTTACTCTTTAAACGTAACGCTTATGAAAATATTATAGTTACGTGCGTGTTTACACTTCTTTTCGTTAATAATACCATTTATTTAATATAATATTGATTTATATTTTGATGAAACTTTTTTTTTCATCCTTGTTAATAAGATTCTTTAATATATATATCCCTCTTAAATATATTCTACTATTGTTGTATGATACATCAATTTTTTAAAATATACCAATAACATTCTTTCCCAAAAAGAAAAAGTAACAAATGCTAAAAATCAAGGTAAATTTGAATATAATAATAATAATAATAATAATAATAATAATAATTATTATTATTATTATTATTATTATTATTATTATTATTATTATTATTGGCAAAAGACTCCAATTATATAATAAAGTTTTGAGATGACTGATATTTTCACCTCCCCGTAAAACATTAATTTTTTCTTCTCAAATTAATTACTTTTTCTTTCTTAACTCGTTAAGATGAACATTATTTATTTAATTAGACATTTATTTTAATATTTTATAATATTCAATTTTGATATTAAAATAGAAAAATAAATAAATTAAGTTTTAGAAATATTTTAGAAAAATATATAAAAAATAATAATATGACTCCCTCATTTAAAATGTTCGGTTCCTTGTATAAATAAATTAATTTTATTTTATTTTATTTTATAACTCTTGATCCTTTAAAATATTATATTTTTTATAATAAATAAATAAATAATAACTTTACATGTATTTTTATTATTAAAATATAATTTAATCCATATATATATATATATAAACCTAGTTATATATTATTTAAATATATATGTTTTAAATAACTAAATTGACCATTATAAAAATATAATTTTATTATTTATTTTACTCATTTTTGAATTAATAAGAAAATTATCATTGACAGGATTCAAACCCAATACCTTAAAGTTAGAGATTAATACTCCAACTACTAAGCTACTATAATTTTTTTATAATAATTTACAAATAAATTATATTTATATACAAATATACAAATATATTTATATATTTATATATTTTTTGTATATTTATATAATTTTATATATTTTTATATATTTATATATTTATATCTATTTATATATATTTATATATTATATATTTTTATATTTTTATATTTTTATATTTTTATATTTTTTTTATATAATTAAATATTTATTTTTTAAAATTATTTAATTTAATAAATTATTATAAATTAATCTAATTATGATTAAATTAAATGATTAAATAAAAAATATTTTATTATTTAATTAGGTGAATAATTAAATTATTAAAATATATTAGGTAATTATTATATAATTTTATCGACGGATATATCGTCGGTAAATAATTATTAATTTACAGATGAATTTATCGACAGATATATCTATCGGTAATTAATTGTTAATTTATCGACGGATTTACCTACGGATATATCCGTTGGTAAATTCATCTATAAATTACCGACGGATTTATCCGTCAGTAACTAATTATTATTTTACCGGTGGATATATCCGTCGGTAACATCAAATTAACCAAATATTTTATATCCGTCTGTAATAATTATTTTCTAACGGCTACAAATCCGTCAATAAAAATCTATCTGAAATACGCGATCTTATTGTAGTGGTCATTAATACTTTCATTTGTGCATTCATTTACTATTTTCATACTTATAATTATTGTGACACGTGAATTTAAGTTACATAATTTATTAGAATATTAAATGTAAATAAAAACTATTTAAATATTCTAAAGGTATTGATAATTTTAAAATAGTATATATATATATATATATAAAATAAAAAAGTAATTATATAAATACATATAATTTTGTATAATTTAGTTAAAATTTTAATTTTTATAATTTCCATAATTTTTAAAAATATATAAATTAAGATTCATTAAAAAAATTATATAATAATATTATTAAAGATAATGATTTGACTATGGTGACATATATCGATTAGTAAATGTATTACCATGGAGTAAATAATATTGAATATTAATGTGTACATGAAATGTTACAAAATCCAACAGAAAAAAATCTCAAGAGAATGAATGATATAAATAAATTCTGAAATAACTTTTAAAAATATGAATAAAATTTTAAAATTTTTATGAGGTATAAAAAGAAATACGAGATGTTTAATATAAGTCAATGAATTAAAGGATTTTTTTTATAATAATTTTGTATTAGCCCAATAGAATTAATAGGTTCAATTTAAACCGTTGCATTTGAAAAATTGCCGAGATTATTATTATTATTATTATTGATTATTGATGATAGATATTTTTATAATAATTAAAATTATTTTTGTTTTAATGAATTAAGTCTTAGATTCTTCTTATTCATTAATTTTTATTATTCAATTTGAGACAGGGACTCTTTCTTATCCGGATGATATGAATCTCCTAGGATACAACTAGGGTACAATGACGCCAACATGACTTAAAAGTCCACTCAAGTTCATATTTTTCATAAGAAGAGCATTATGTGATAAAATTATTTGAGGGATCGAAAACTTTCTGATATACAGATCCTTATAAGAAACAAGTGTAGAACATATTTGCATTTAAGTGAGAAATGATAATAAAAACTATAATATTTCAAACTTTCAGATAAGAGAAAACTTAGAGAGAACCTTTTAAGAAAATAAACTTGTATTCGATTGATTCTGATTTACAACATTACAAGTCTTCCTATTTATAGGTAAAACACACATGCGAAATTGAAAATTTTACTAAACTAAAATAAACTTTGGACCTACAATATCATACAAAGTGGAATCCAAATATAAGGTTATGACCCACACTCATTTTGATCTTATATACAAGATAAAATACGATAAAATATCTTATAGATAAGATAAAATATGATAAGATATCATATCTCTTTAGATAAAGTAAAGTTGATTCGGTTTCATTTTCATTAATATGTTTGCGAAGCTCATAATAGACAAGTGTAAAGATAAGAGAATCTTACTTTAGTAACTTGTCATGATGATAGTCATTGACTAAAACTTTTATTTTGAGCCAGATCTGATGGAGCTATAATAATTCATCTGTTGGGTCTCTTGTCATACTTCCATGTAGTGGATCCAATAGGGATACATTTTCTTGTGCATCATCATTTTTTCCATTAATTTTTTGTTGTAATCATCAACTAAGTTTTCAATCTTTTGGAATTCGGGAACATAGATCTCAGTCGTTGATTTGAAAAATCTTATCTATTGATATTCATCGCCTTTTTGGACGATTCTATTTAGAGGATAAGAACTAAGCGAACTTTGGGATGAGTTTGCAATATTGGGATCCATCAACTTGTAATGGTAGTTGTTGACTTCATAGAGGTGTCAAACTAATTGGGTTCTGTAACTTTCATCAAGAGGATAAATCTTAAAGCTTCTCCAGATGTAGACTTCATTTCTTGACCATAATTGACCTGCGGGATTTAGAAAGTATAGACGGTGAGTGATGAAGATTGAAGTAAGATTTTGAGAATCTTCAGTCATTTCTCGTTATTTATGGAAGTCCAAAATCCTGTTGAGTTCCTGTTTCCACCAAGACAGATGTCATTCTAGTAAAGTTCAAAAATGAAACTTCTATTTGTAAGAGTGTATCAAAATCCTATAGGCTTGTTGTGTCTTCAATGCAATAGAGATTGGATATTGAACAATGTTACACCATATCACCTAGAGTGTTGGTTCACATAGAATAATTCAAAAATTCCCCTAAAAGGAATGTCAAGATTAAACATGGACGCTGAGATGGTTTTGTATTTGATGGTTTCATGGAAAAAGTAGAAGTAACAAGATTTCACTTACTTGAAGATATCTGCAGGAGAAGTTGGGTTCAATCCGAGAGGATAGACCTTTACAATTTTGACTTTGTTGGATAGCGATTTGACCATAAAGATGAGAGGAAGACTATAGATGTCAGAAATCAGTTGGACAATTTTCTTAGGTCTGGACAGAAAATCAAGGACTGTATTTTGGTTTCCTTTGATATGTTTAACTAAAAAATCATACCTTGAAAATCAGTCCATTAGTCGGAGAATTTGAGGATTTCGAAACATTATGTTTTTGAACTCTAGGATCCTTGGAACGAGGAGTTGTCCATCTATACTTCAAAATGATGTCCTCTGAGATGAAAATTAAATTTTTTTATTCTATTTTGACAGCTAAGGCTTCTTTTAAGGTAATATGATAATGTTCCTCAGCATCTTTGAACTATCCACTTGAATGGTCAAAGTAATACCTTTTTTCATTGTCTTTTTCTATGAGAATTGCTCCCCAATAGTCATCATTGACATCCGTCTAAAATATCATTTTTCCAGTTTCTTGGAATCTTTAGAGTTGGAGAAGTCTGAACTTACTTTTTTAATCCTTTAATTATTCTGGTCCTCACAGAGATGGATTCTTCCTTACTAATTTGGATAACTGACTTATGTATCTGACAATGTTGGGATGCTTAATATATGTCTATGAACTAAAGGATCATCCTATCTAAATTTTGAGTATAATAATTTTATGATAGTCCAATAAAATTAATAGGCCCAATTTAAACCATATTACGTTTAAAAAGATATGAGATTTTTATTATTATTATTATTATTATTATTATTATTATTATTATTAATGATATATATATTTTCAATATCTCGTAATAATCAAAATTATTTTTGTTTAATGAATTAAGTCTTTATATTCTTCTTATTCATTAATTATCTTAAATTATTACGAAGAAAAATCATTATGAAAAATATTATTTTTTAAATAATAATTGAAAACAATTCTATAATATATATAAAAAAAAGTTAATGTGCATACAATAAAATAATTCCTCTCTACTACTAGTAAGTATATATAGATG